TTTTTGTTTTTTGTTTTTTGAGACGGACGGTCTCACTATGTAGCCTAGGCTGGTCTCGAACTCACAGCGATCCTCCTGCCTCAGCCTCCAGAGTGCTGGGATTACAGGTGTGTGCCACCACGCCCGGCTAGTAGTGCTGAAATTATAGGCATGTGAGTGCTGAACTTAAAACTATTTTTAAACAAATTAGAACTCTTCCCTTCACTCATTTCAGCAGAACCACTGCATCAATGAAAGTTCAAGAACTTACCATACTTAAACACAATTTGCAGCGTTCTGTTAATTTCTTTTCCTGTTTAGACTGCTAAAATGTTTCTGATTCAGTAAACAGCATTACATTTTAAAAGCATTTAGGGGCCGGGGATTTAGCGCAGCGGTTCGGTGGCCTGCCTTGCAAGCGCAAGGACCTGAGTTCAATCCCCGGTACCAAAAAAAAAAAAAAAAAAAAAGTTAAAAGCATTTAAAATGTCACTCTTGGGCCAGGGATTTAGCTCAGTGGTTCTGCTGCCTGCCTTGTAAGCACAAGGACCCAGTTCAATCCCCAGTACCATAGATAAATGAATGAATGAATGAATGAATGAATGAATGAAAGGTCACTCTTGCCAGGCATGGTGGCACACGCCTATAATCCCAGCAGGCTGAGGAAGGAGGATCCTGTGAGTTTGAGACCAGCCTGGGCTACATAGTGAGCTCCAGGTCAGTCTCAACTACATAGTGAGACCCTGTCTCAAAAAAGCCAAAAAAAAGAGAGAGAGAGAGAGAGAGAGAGAGAATGAACCACTAAAATATTAGGGCACTCTGATAATCAGACTTTGCTAAATTTTTATTTTCCTTTTGTTTTTTTGAGAGACAAGGTCTCATTATGTAGTTTAGGCTGGCCTTGAACTCACTATAGGATTATAGGCATGCGCCACCAAAACCCAGCTGAATGTCTTTTAAGAGTAACACTCAACAGTCCAGCTAGGTGTAGTGGCACACCAGCACTCAGAAAGCTGAGGCAGAAGGATCACTATGAGTTCAAGGCTAGCATGAACTGTATAGCAAGACCCTTTCAAAAAAA